CCTCGGCTCGGGGAGTCGGGCCGACTCGCCAAGCCAGGTCCTGGTCACCCTCCGAACGACCGGGGTCCTCAGCCCAGAGTGCGAACACCGATTCGTCAGAGTGGCGTGCGTGCAAGGGGTGTACGGTGGCGATCGGGGTGTGCCGTCGCAGTATCGCTGGGGTACTGTGGGGGTTAAACATCTGCATAAACAATCGGCCCCCATCTGTGTTTACCAACGTGGCGGATCCCACGACCCCATACCGTTTCGCCAACTCCGGGTGAGGAATTAGCATTACCTCTCCTGATGGTCGGAGCGCGGGGTCGGTGGGGGATGTTGCTACCGGCACCAGCATCTCGGTGAGCGGCCCGATGGTCACTGCCGTCGCCAGGATAGCGGCCACAGGTGCGAAGCGGGGGCGCGTTGGTTCTCGTCCCAGGAACGGTATCCACTCGCCGTTGCTCTCCATGGTGGCGCATCGCTGGCGGGGTTGCACGTTGAGTCCCAGCTGTTCTAAGAGGTCGGTGCCTGCGATACACTCGCGACACAACGCACTCGACACGTAGAACTCCTGGGTGCACACCTGGGTGCCTATGCGGACCTCTAGGGTGGCTCTCCCCAGCATCCCCATCCCGGCTCCGCTCGCAGTGTGCAGCGCGCGGTCCGGTGCCTGCAGGTGACGCACGTCGACCCCGATCGCGCTGCAGTGTGCTGCGGTCACGAGCGAGGCCACCGCCCCCGTGTCCAGCAGGATTCGGGTACGCATTCCGTTTACCTCCCCTTCCACCAGCGACGTGGCCCCCGTGATCCCTGCCACCAGCTCCCGTAGCCAGTCGCCATGAGTCACCGTTTCCGTGGGCGTTGTTGCTGGAACCTGTGTGGAGATCACTCGCTCGCCATTATTCTCACAGCTTGTTTGTGTTGGGGCTACGTCGATTTCACCCCCCGGTGGTCCCCTCTCTAGGGGGGTTTTAGTGTTTGACCTTAGCTCTTGTCTAGCTCGGGCGACCTGAGGACAGTCCCTCCTGAGATGCCCTCGCCGATCGCACACATAACACGCCCGGGGAGGGGTGGCGGCTCCGTAGTGGGCTCTCTGCCCACTCCCTCCTCCCCCAGTGCGCTGCTGCTCATACTCTGCTTCTAGTCAGGCTATCCTTCCAGTTAGCCCTCCTACCGTGGAGTCTAGTTCCCCCATCTCGGATCGGATGGTCTCAACGGAGGATTGCAGTTTGGTCATATTTTTATTCGTTTCCTTCATTTCCTCGCGTACTTGGGTTACCTGGCCGGCTATATCTCCCATGCCGGTCTGTAACCCGGCTACCCACCCGGGGGTTGTTTCGCTGGGTCTCTGGGGCTCCCTTGCCTGTCCCCTTACTGCGATGGCGAGCTCTTCCTCCTCGTCGGAGAGTAGGCTCGCTACGGCGCACTCTCGTCCCCTCCCTCGAGGCTGCGCGCGCTCACCCGAGAGTTTCTCGCATTTGCGCGCGCGCTCGACGAGGGTGTTAAAGGAGAGGCGTGTACCGTCTACATTTGGCTGCCACCACGGGGTGCGTGCCAAATATCGCTGGATTTTACCGGCGGCGAAGCCCTCAATTATTTTGGCCTCGTACTTGGGGTACGCGAGCTGGGTCAACATGCATACGTCCTCGGCGTAATCTCGTAGATCCTCGCCGGGTTGGCGGCGGCGTGCCTCTAAGGCCGCCTGCGCATCCTCCTCGTCATAGGCGCCGAAGCGCCGTTCGAGTTCGCACATTAATTTTTCCCACTGAGTTTGTGCGCTTGCGGGCAAAGCTTCCACAAAGTCAGCTGCTCGCCCATCTAAATGTAGCTCTAACTGCTGCAACGCCTCCTCATCTGACCACCCATTAACTTTTTTAGCCCCCCTGATGCTGCGGGCAAACGATTTCCATGATGGAATTCCTTTGCTCGTAAATGTGCATTTGATTTTAATCTGGGTTGGGGGGTCTCTCTCCCTTGGGGGCGCGGGGGATCGTCCCGTTTCTGACACCAATATGTGGGGGCCGTTGGCCCCCGGGGTCTCTCCCTCACGCATCCCCTATTCCGGTTGCGTTGCCGCACCGCCCTATTACCCGCTAAGGTTTCGCCGGCATTCGAACGCGACGCCCCTACTGTTACAGCCTCGCGCCGCGCTCCCACGCTGCGAGCATACGTGCGCACAGCATCATCAATCAAACGCCATACTCCCCCTCTTTACACCGCTACGTACAGCTCTCGCACACTGCGAGCGTGTGCCCATCTACAGCCCGGTGCGGCACTCGCCTCCCCGTCGAATAACCACGTGACCAATGCGCACCCGTATCCGACACGTAGCGAACGTACGCGCCTTCACGCACCCAGCCCCCCACGGCACTCACTCACCACTGAGCACTCACGTTGTGATCGCGCACCTATATCCTACGCGGAGCGAACGCATGCACACACACGCAGCTCCACACGCGACACCCACTCTCGCGCCGCTCTGTGCAGCGCTCCCACGAGGCGAGCCGCAGCACTAAACGCGTTCACACCGCTCACGAGATCACACGAGGCCACGCTTCGCTATTAATGATTTATTATTTGCTACCTGCGAATTGATGCTAAATCAGTTTGAGTCAGTACGTATCGGCGAGGCTGGCCTATCCTACTTCCCCTGGACCTATTCCCTATTTATCGGCTTACGATACCCTGTCACCTTGCTACTCACGGGTCGAAGTATTCGGCGTCCTGTGGCTTTTCCTCTATGCTGTCGGGACACGTCACGCGGACGTCCGGAGGGCAGAGCTGGGAGCCGAATTGAACGCGTGCCTCTTGAAGAGAAGTGAGATCCCTCTACCTTGCTACGATCCCTTTTGTCCTCTGTCCCGTACTTCCCGAATGCTCTCCGCTCATGAGCGGCGCATATGCTAATCAATGTGCTGCTTGCGCGGCGTAAATTCTAATTAATCCCTTTCTCACGCATGCCTTTGTTATTGCAGATTATGCGGTGGCGTCCATTACAAAGGCTCGCCGTGGGAATTTGTGCAAGGGCTCCCCGCGTGCGTCCGCCCTCCCGATTATTCATACTTTCCGCTTAGTGCTTTACCTTCCTTAACAATGGTGCCTGCGCGCTCAAGCGTAATTATCCCAACCCTCCATGACTATGCGCAAGAGCCCCCGCAGTCCTGCTAATCATGCCGTCCCGTCCCTCCCCTGCTTGCCCCGTCGACACGTGGGGGGGGGGGTGTGTGTGGGGGATGCGCCACAACCGCGGTGGCCGAATGCCCCTCGCCGCAACCATACCATCTTAAGGCCGGTCGCAGCGCCGCTGTGCAACGTAGCGTTGGGGGAGGTCGTCCAATTCCCTGGTCGCCGGAAACCGTGAAAGTCAATCCCGATAAGGGCTTCTCGGATAAAAACCGGTCGATCAGGTGATCTCCTTTTCCAGCTCTATGGGTGGGGGAAAGTGCGTGCGGGTGTGTTCCTGTGAGGTGAGGTGAGGGGGACGTGGGGTCGGCTCCGTCGCTTGGTGGTGGCGAGGTCGCAGATGGGGCGCCTGCCGAACGGCTTCGTGGCGGCGGCATCACATAGTGAGTCCAACTGAGTCGCAAACGTTATCTTTGGAGCAACACTATTTATTACACATTAACACACAACACAACACGATCTACACTCGGGTCTCGAATGCCCATCTAACCACGCTACAGCAGAACTAGACACGGTTTGCTATCCCGGTCCGGACCACAAACGGGGTCCCGGACTGCGTGGCTAGAGGCTTCTCTCCAACGTGGATTTTCGTAATACCAGCACACGAAGAACCTCGAGCTCCTCACGGGGCCCTCGTTATATGCCCCTGGGCCGGGGCTGGCTCCGCCCTACGCCCTGCCCACCTTCCAGGTCTCTCGAGCTCCTTCTCGAAGGTTCCCGAGAGCTCTTTTGGACCACGAGACCGCCCCACGGCCCCGTCTACCGGTGGCCCCCCTCCAATATCATCCGGTCACGTGACAGCAGGTGAACCAGCGTATCATGCCCCAAGGTAACCCTGGCTGGCTGACGCTCCCTCTCGCTCCCTCACCGGGAGCCCGCACCACACACTGCTCGTGGTGCCTCAGCGCTAACCAGCGCTCACCCAAACCCCACTAGGGCTGGTACTACATCCCATAACCTGGGCTGCCCATAATGACAACACATTACCGGCTGTGGCTTTGCAAGCCCCAGCACCATACACTATACTTAGCTAATTCATTAATCCCAATGTCAAACACAAGAAACCTAAGACGTCCATATAATTGCCTTTTAACTATGCCTTGTTTTCTCCAGTAACATCGTAAATCTTCCTTCAAAAAATAACCTGAAGCAGAAGATTAGTGCTGGATACGACATTTGTCAATGTGATTTGTAACTTTGATCCTTACCCACGTATTTATAGTTCAATTTTAACGTGCAATTTTATTGAGGTACTGTGTGTTGTTGTCTTGGTACAGTCTGGGTCTGTTGTTGTTGTGTTACCTTGTCCAAGCTTGATATTAGTGTTGAAAAATCGGCAAGAATTGATGTACTTGTGCAATTTGTATTTATAGACTTAAGTTATTGTTATTTATTTTAGTGACTTGCTCACGTTTCCTATACCATTGTTTTTTGTATTGTGTTTGTTGTAACTTTCTGACCGGCCCCTACTGGACATCTGTGAAAAATACCTCTATAGCTCATTGGATTCCTCCTCCAGTCTAAATAAAATATTCCTATTCTGAGTAATATGTGGGTAATTTTTCAAACTTGAACCATGACGCTGGCATACATTAGGCTTAATTGTTTCGTATGATGTCAAGGGATTTTTAAAGTACCCTTGTGAAGCAAACGGCCAGTGTTCCTGTGGTTAAAACATTCAATGGTAATAATCATGGTGGCCTGCCACATTCGAACCACAGTGACATGGCTGTCACTGGCTGGGGCCATGTCACCGTGGTTCGAATGCTGGGGCTGGGGCCATGTCACCAGCCCGAACCACAAGCAAAGCTTGAGCAGGGCTCAATGTTTGTGTGCAGGGTGGGCAAGGCTCATGGAAGAGTGTGCAGGTGGCCATAGCCGACCCTGTGCAGAGAGGAGACCTGCTGAGCCACAACCTTGTGGAGCTCGCTCTGCCGCACGCGCACCAGCTACGACTCACTCCCTTCACCTGCTTTGGGCCCGGGGACTCGGCCATGCGCTGGATCCACTACTCTGATGGTAGGGCACCGCTCCGACGCACGCTGCCAGCCGGCCACACCATGGTACCCCAGCGTGCTCCTCATGAAACATGGGTGCGTGTGTTTTTCAGGTGAGGCTTTCTGTGGGTTTGAAGAGCTGCTGCTGTGTGGCTTCATGCAGGACACGCATGATGACTTTGACTGGAAGCAGCGCCGTGGGGCGGGAGAGTGGCCGAGACCTACTCCTCCCCCCAGGACCCACAGCTCACCCGGGGTCCCTGGCATCCCCGCATCACCTCATTTTTCTGCTACAACTCGTCCGTTTGGTCTATCGGCATCCCCAGCCTCTGCCACTTTCACTGACCAACGCTTCCAGTCGAGGCTGACTAAATTGCGAGGTGACCGCTACAGATCATTGTCAACATCAGAAATATAGGTACAGATACAAGCCTAGACTTGTCAAAAACGCGGCCCCGCAAGCACTTGCTCACGCCACTGAAGATGGGCTCCACTACAGTGAACTCGGGTGTATTTGGTCTACTCTCCATAATGACCAGACTTTTTGGAAGAGGTGGACCACATACCCACATTTTACCTGCCGATTGACTAACTGGTGTAATATGTGTACTGATCGGTGGAGAGAGGCGGCAGAGTGATTTGAGAAAATTGCCCCACTATTTAAACTGCCGCATCGTGAAATGGAGTAGCTCTTAAATATTGACATTTAAAAAAATGATTAAATGTATTATTACCAAATATCGTATTTTAAGATTATTTACAAGAATGAAAAGTAAATTATTTCAAGCGATCTTAATTTTGGCTTGTCGACTACAACTATATGCAACGATGTCTACTAACTTCAAAATCTATTCCTGAGGCCAACTTCCTGAGGCCAACGTGACGAGCGGGTGAGTATATATCACGGACGCTTGTCCGACGTTGTATTGAATGTCACACCGTTCCTCGCCCAAATTGTGCTGCATTCAGGTAACCTGATGTACGCGGAGGCCTCGCAGCAGGGCCAGGCCGGCCAGCGAGCTCGTCTCATCAGCCCCATTTATAACATCAGTGGCAGCGGCACGAGTCTCAAATCTGCCTGCCTGGAGTTCCATTTCCACAGCCGTGGGAACAGCTCGGGTCAGCATTTATATCGGCTCGACTTCTATCAGTTTTGCAAGTAGGGTCACCACCTTTCCCACAGACCAAATCCGGACGTATTTCTCAGTCAGTTGAGGTCTATCAAAACCGTGCAGTTTTACTGTGATAAAAGTTCAACGCGATGCATCCAGATCTCGGTACAAGTTAATTCCTGTCAATTCCTGCCCCCCCCCTAAACAGAGACCAATTCCTGGACTGTCAAAATAAAACAAGAACAGGTGGCATCCCTAGCTGCAAGTGACTCACGTGTTTGAGATTCACATTACTGTCGCTGTGCTTTGTTTACCCCGTACCCTGGGGTCTTGTCCATGTCTCACTGCTGTTCTTGTCCCTCTTTTGTGATCTTAAAATGTGGTTCACAATATTCAGCGTTTGCGTGAATGACTCGATGTAAAATAGGATATGTATTTATTATCTTATAAATAATACTAATTTTCTTTGTTTACACTCATATTAACGTGTAATTAGATGAGATATCTGTATGATAAATGCCATTTTCTCCACTTAAAATGACGAATTTCTGTATTTCACAAAGTACACCTCATAACTGTGTATTGATAGCTACTATATAGAGAATGTTAATAATATACTTTGGGTCTTTTGGTAAAGTCACGTAGATAGGTTCAAAGAAAATAACAAAGAACTATGACGTTTCGATCGCAACACAAACGAAACGTAGTTCTTTGTTATTTTCTTTGAACCTATCTACGTGACTTTAGCAAAGACCCAAAGAATATAAATTCCGGCAGTCACGAAGGCTTTAAGTCAAGATGTAATGTTAATAATGGTGATGCTTAAAGTATTTTTAAAATGTGCTCTATCTCCATTGATGGCTGTCACATTTAATCTGAGTTTATGGTTAATATTGTGAGGGCATTTACCTCCAGCCTACAAAAAATGTAACACGAGTGTGATGTATCACCACATCGTGTAGCAGACGAAGACTGGTTAAATTGAATTACGGAAACACGTTGCAAAAGGGACAAACCTGTGGCTTTTTAGGCCCTTGTGACTGGTTATAATATAGCTCACCATATAACCACACCGCGTGAGTTCTTACATATGCTGTAGATGTCAGCTGTCTCACTGTGATACGTTGTCGTGATGTCTCGTGAGATGTCCGCGTGGTGTCCTCTGCTGCAGGAATGTTGAATGTGCTTGTTCGAGTTGGGCCCAATCAGGACAGGCATGTTTGGGTGTCCAAGGGCCGGCACATGGAGGAATGCCTGGTGCAGCTCCCTGTCAACCCTGCTGGGCCCTTTCAAGTAAGCCCTCAATCTCCCAGTAAGTTAACCGCAAAGCTAGGGGCCATGCAATTGCTTGGTCACGCCACTGCTGGCGGAAGGGCCCTCCACTAGACACGAGAACCAACTATAGAAGCACTTGGTCTACTCTTCCACATTGACCAGACGTTTTAGAAGCGGTGGGCATACCCACGCTTTACCCCACCACACGCGACCTGATGATCGATTGACTGGAGTGAACCAACTTATCAAAGGGATGCAATATCAACCACAGCAGTTTCAGGTCTCTTTGACCTGAGGTTAGAAATGATTTGGGGATTGCTTGAGGATACAAATACCAGTACTTGACAGAGGTAAACACTTTTGAGAATCTCGGTCTGTATCCCACTGGAAATAACACACATTCACCACATTCATCTATCCATGCTCACGGTAATACGTGCAAGTATTGTTTGTTGGAGCTTTCTGACCCACCCCTACTTTATATCTGTGAAAAAGCATCTTCATAACTCATTGGATCTCTCCAGGATAAATAAACATTCTGATTCCGAGTCCCACGGTGCGCTCTGCTAGGTTGTATTTGAAGCAGTGAGAGGGCCTGGCGGACAAGGCAGCTTTGGGATTGATGATGTGAGCATCTCGGAAGGGGCATGCCCACAGGAGAAACAGGAGGCAACTCTTAACTGTAAGCACCAGCAAGCACATCACCCCTGATATACGGAGTGCCTTGTATTCGCAGTGTACACCATGGGATATCCATGGCAGTTCAATATCACACCAACGTGGTTGTTGTTGTTAACAGATAAGCGGACACTGTCTCCTTCATACATTAGTCTCTCCACATAGAAACAAAAAATGTATTTTACACATCTTATCAGCAGGGGCACAGCTATTGGTGGCAGCATTATGCGACACATAGGGGCCCAGTCGGCTACAAATGAGGCCCAAATCAACCAGACAAACAAGTTAAAACATCAATAATATCGGTTGTTTTTGGGTTAGATCGCGTAAATATGTGTGGCTGTCACCAGATGAAGCTAGTTGTAATTACTGGCGAAACGTCGTACTGAGATTGTATATGTTGTGGATTTGCTCTCCCAAAATACCGGTGTACTGTACTAGTAACGAATTGTTATTTTATGTTTACGTGACAAACCTTACTAATTGGTTGTGTCGGGTGGTGGCGGGTTTAACGACACATTCATATGTACGCGATCTAACCCAAAAAACGTATATTATGGATGATATTGATCACGAAAGCCTACGTGTTAGACCCAGTTAAAAAATATTAAGAAAACATTTCAAACAGAAATATTCAATTAACCGTAATAAAAACATTGCAACAAATGAAAAAGATTTTTTTTTAAATACACATCGTAAAATATAGGAGTGCTACTCGTGTTTGTTACTGAACACCAGGCTGTTTGATAACTGACATGTGCATGAAAGCAAGATGCACGATAACTTAATGTGAGTATTGTACGTTTACATTTTTGTATAAAAACTGTCACTGTGAGACTGTCTTCCTCTAAACCCAATATACAGTACAACGAACATAATATATATTTATAGCCGACATTATTGTGTACGAGTTTAAAATATCCGTAGCTATTTCAGTAAAAAACAATCGGGAGAAAGGAGGGGGGCCCACAGTCGTATCTTGCATAGTCCCCGTTGAGATAGGAAGTTGTGACCCTGATCCCATCTACCCAACATCCTCATGGGAGTGCCATAATTTTAGTAGTGTTGATTCAGTACAAAAATTATCTGTAGCGGTTTTCATATGCAGTGTCTCATCATCAGTCAGGCTTGCTTGAATCAATGCTCGTGATTTTACAGAGGTTCCAGGCAAAGACCCTCTCTTTAAGATATAGAATTATTTACGATACAATAGCAAATCACAATATAGAAATTATTGATCATTTTCCCATAACTTTGTAATTGTATTTTTACGTTGTATTATGTTTGTGCTTGGCTGTACTTCCAGTACAGTATGTCTAAATAGTACTGTACTTAATGATATATTCAACTGCAATTTACTCAACATAGACATGCCATAGCCCTCTCATATTTACAACTTTACAACTTGTAGTGCTTATACACAGTCAGTTACACAATAATCAATTAAATCATCTAACAGATTTGACAATTATGCCAGACTAGCTTTACTACCCGGCTTCGCCTGGGACTTGGATGTTCACACACCACACCAATTACTCGTTTGAGGCTGAGTAGACCTAGGGGAGGCCCAGGACCGGTTTAAATAATCGTCACCGGTGGTGGCCGTGAGCAGGAATCGAACTCGGGTCGCTGGGTTCATAGCGCAGTGCGCTAACCACTACACTAACGCCCCCCCCCCACACACGCGCGCGCGTCCATAGGTACACATACACGCGCTTGCTGCAGACACACACAACTTTCAGGGTGTGTAAGGCAGTAAACGACTCAAATAATAAACCAATACTGCGCGAAGAACGCCTTTGACCTGCAACACATTTGTATGGCACTTTACTCGCTGAGAGTTGGGGCTGGATGCGTGACATCAGCAGGCACACTGAGTAACGCTTCCGCATGCGGGTGACATCAAAGATGTGACGTCACAGCTCACTTGTGCAAAATATCCATTATTGCGCCCCCCCCCCCCCCCCCAAAAAAAATACAAACGTATATTTTTATACTTTTTGCATGGTGTACAGTCTGGAAACTACCCACACGCCATATTTAAAGTTTGTTGCATGTCGGGAAGTATGCGAAACATTTCAAACAGACACACATATTCACAAATTTACCCTTATACAGTTAGGGAAAAAAGTATTTGATCCCCTGCTGATTTTGTACGTTTGCCCACTGACAAAGAAATGATCAGTCTATAATTTTAATGGTAGGTTTATTTGAACAGTGAGAGACAGAATAACAACAACAAAATCCAGAAAAACGCATGTCAAAGATGTTATAGATTGATTTGCATTTTAATGAGGGAAATAAGTATTTGACCCCTCTGCAAAACATGACTTAGTACTTGGTAGCAAAACCCTTGTTGGCAATCACAGAGGTCAGACGTTTCTTGTAGTTGGCCACCAGGTTGGCACACATCTCAGGAGGGATTTTGTCCCACTCCTCTTTGCAGATCTTCTCCAAGTCATTAAGGTTTCGAGGCTGACGTTTAGCAACTCGAACCTTCAGCTCCCTCCACAGATTTTCTATGGGATTAAGGTCTGGAGACTGGCTAGGCCACTCCAGGACCTTAATGTGCTTCTTCTTGAGCCACTCCTTTGTTGCCTTGGCCGTGTGTTTTGGGTAATTGTCATGCTGGAATACCCATCCACGACCCATTTTCAATGCCCTGGCTGAGGGAAGGAGGTTCTCACCCAAGATTTGACGGTACATGGCCCCGTCCATTGTCCCTTTGATAGCGGTGAAGTTATCCTGTTCCCTTAGCAGAAAACATCCCCAAAGCATAATGTTTCCACCTCCATGTTTGACGGTGGGGTGTTCTTGGGGTCATAGGCAGCATTCCTCCTCCTCCAAACACGGCGAGTTGAGTGGATTCATATTCTTAGGTTTTTTCGGTAAAGCCACGTAGGTAAAAAATACAAATTAATAAAAGTAAAATAAAAATAAAATTAAAAATCACGACGTTTCGGAGGCAACACAAGCTTCCGTCTTCAGGTGGAACCGTCACAGCACGATAGCTGTATCAAGTGAGAGAAATTCCTAGAACAGAGTATTTATATATATACTGGTTGAGGGTGGGAGGAGCCAAGGTAGGCCCTGAATATAATTTTTGTGAGGTTCGGTACGGCTGAAGCACGCTGTTAGGAATGAGCCTTTGTTGTGTAAACTAGGTGCGGATGATGTAAAGGTGCGTGTAAAAGGGACTGAGCCTTTTTGTTATGTAGAGATGATGCGGCTGAAATCGCTGCCAGGAAATGAGTCTTTGTTGTATAGAATGGTTGACTGAGCCTATTATTATGTAGAGGTGGTGCGGCTTAAATCGCTGCCAGGAAATTAGTCTTTGTTGTGTAGAATGGTTCACTGAGCCTATTATTATGTAGGGGTGGTGCGGCTGAAATCGCTGCCAGGAATGCTCCAAATATGTGTAGTTAAATCTTTTTTGCATGGTTAATAACATCTTTCCAATGATTACTAAGTTTGTACCCATCATCACGGTTGAAATTATGTCTGTGTTTGTATATTTGGATGGCCTCGTGTACAAACCTTTGATGGTAGCCAGGAGGCTTGCAGAGCACCTTAGTCTCGGAAAAGACAATTTCATGAGAGCCTACAGCATTGTAGCAATGATCGGCAACGCTGTGGGCTCTCATGAAATGTTAATAATATGGCGCCGCAGCAGTTTTGATGTGGTTTCCTTATTCACCAAAGTTCCTGTACCTGACACCATTGCAATCATTGAAGACTTGGTTCATCAAGGACTGAATGCTGGGGTACCCCCCCTGGTGAGACACTGCTTAACCAATACATACTTCACCTGGAATTGAACTTTCTACAAGCAAACTGAGGGCACCCCAATGGGCTCCCCCCTATCTCCGGTTGTAGCCAACGTCTTCATGGAGAAATTTGAGACTGACGCCATCCAGACTGCCACTCTACGCCCGACCTTATGGAAGAGGTACGTAGATGACGCTTTTGTCATCTGGCAACATGGCCGGCCTGCTCTAGACCAATTTCTCGACCACATCAATTCCATACACCCAGCCATCAGATTCACCATGGAAGTCGAAAAAGATGGCAAGCTACCCTTTTAGGATGTCCTAATTAAAAGGAGACCTGATGGTTCAATGAGCCACTCTGTTTACAGGAAAGCCACCCATATGGATGCTTACCTAAAACCGGATTCCCACCACCATCCATCCCAGAAGAATTCCCTCATCAAGACTCTATACCATAGAGCCCAATGCATTTTCGACCAAGAACACATTGCCAGTGAACTCAAACACGTACGCCAAGCTCTTAAGGCTAACACAATCCGCAAAGCCATCACTCCAACCATCAAGAAGGATCCTGTTGAGGAGCCTCTCAAGACCATCACCTTACCCTACATTGCTGGGGTCACAAAAAAGATCTCCAAAATCCTGATTTAACACAAGATCCAGGTCCGAGTCAACACAGTACATAAAATCCGTGATCTGGTCCCGTCTGTAAAAGATGTGGTTCTAGACATACAGTACCCTGGCGTCTACAAACTAAGTTGCCTCTGTGGTAGCAGTTACATTGGAGAAACCAAACGACATGTCTCAGACCGCATCCCTGAACATAAAGCAGACTTGAAACACGGTAGGACAAACACCTCAGCCGTGGCAGATCACTGTTACAATTCAGTGGGTTCACATGATATTGACTTCTCCAAGACAGAGGTTCTCTGCAAGCCATCTGGCTACCATGAAAGATTCGTTCATGAGGCGATCCACATATACAAACACAGACAATTTCAACCGAGAAGATGGATTCCGGCTTAGCAATCATTGGAAGGACGTAATAAACCATTTCGGATCTTAACTGATTGTGTCCACGTTTACGGTGACTTTCAGACCGCGTTCCACTCACTGACATTGACTATATATCCTGTATTCTCCGCAGGGAATGGATTCTTTGCTCCGCTGCAAGCTTCCTACCACCACTCTCCCACTGACATATTTCGTTGCTTCCTCTTAGTACCTTTCACGC